GAACCCGGCGTCCTTTCCACGGATTAGGGCCTGGCTCGAAATTTCTTTTTGCGAGGTTACAACCGTGGCTCGCAATCCCAACATCGGAAGCCTGGCGTCGAATTTGAAGTGTTCTTTTATTTTTTTTTTTGTCTTTTTTATTTTAAATCGCAGGATGCCCTCTTGATGGTGGGCCAAGGACGAACGTATTTTCTTTACATAGTTTCTTTGACGTCGTCTAATCCAAGTGGAGAAACAAGAATGCGGTAAGTCCCTCATTCGTTTTTGTGAAGGAAAGAGTTTTGACGCGTGACCCGTCTTTTGTTGTATTACTTTGGAAAGTAACTGAATCGTAATAAATTCATCTACTGAACAATTTCGTTGATTAAATTACCTGTCACGCCAGTTAAAAAAACGTGTAATATGAGAAGAACAATAACGTGTTATTGGAGTAGATTGAAAATCCAACCAGCGAACTGGTTACCCTACTCCATTTCACTTTAAAGGAAAAGTGAAGAGGTTCTTGAAAAAAAAAAACGAGTTAGAGGTGAATTGTAGAATATTTTTATACCATAAATTTGAATATCACGTTCGTTTTTCCCGAAGATGTAACGAAACGCGAGAAAACACAAAAAACATCCGACCATTTTTTACGTCATACCCAGATCTTTCGTCCGCCAGGCATGTGTCGCTCGTGTGGGTAGCACGTGCAATTGCAAGCTTGCCAGGTATACACGTTTGCAAGAAAGGCTCCTGTGCGCTGCCATTTGGAGCGATGCTGGCGCCCCGTACCGTTTCCGCCATGCGCCAGGGGCACGTCATTGGGGTGCGCGATGACAAGATGGGGCCGTTTGCTGCATCGCCGGTGGCTTACGTTAGCGGCCCACTTACTGTCTCGGAACGCAGGAGGAGGTATCCACACAGAATCGCAGCGTCACACATTGTAGGACGGGGCATCTTTAAAGGGGTACTCCACCGATTTTTTGAGCTACCTCAACTAACTATATTTTCTGACTCCCCGGCCTTTACTCTCTCCGGTATGCTATTTAGAATCGCGAAATTCATATTAGTTATTGCGAAATCGGCAAATGAAAATGATGCAAAAACCAACATTCAAATATACGCGCGCTTTTCAGGGCCGTGACGTCAGTGGCAGGCAGGCTTGCCAGTCGAGCAAGCAGCCAAAAAATAGAATATGCCAATCATTTGTTCCGTGCTGGAGCGCGGGTACTGCAGCGAGCTTCCCAAGCATTCATTTGACACCATGAAACTGCTTCGAATCAGTTTAAAACAAAATCTACAGCCCAAAGAGTGAACTCCTGCCTTCCACTGACGTCACTTTTTCATTGTTGCCAGTAGAGACTTCGAGCTTGAAAAACACGGTGAGGACCAAAACTGTAAATTCAATAACTTCGTGAAAAAACAATATTTTGACCTAATATTTAGGATACTATTTTCGCGATGTTTGTTGGTTAGTTTAGCCAAATTTCAAGCAAATCGTAGACAATGAAAAAATCGGTGGAGTAGCCCTTTAAGGGTTGGAGCTGAGTTTATAACGAACGCAGCCTCTGTTCCTGCATGTTGTGGAAGCCAGAGCTGCCACGAGCGCAGCCATCGTTGATGCAAAGGCCGTGCGACTTTTGGCGCATTCTGAAGAGAGCGCCTTGAGACTTTAGACCTTTTTGAAAATTTTCGATTTGTTACCGCTTTAGGCATTTTATTTAATTTTCCTTGCTATTTCGCTGTCGAAGACGACACGTGTACGTTTTATAATTATTTCATAAAATTTCTTTCTGCGCTCAGTGGTGTACGCTTCGGCGAGAGACGCTTGGCAACATTGTACGACAACCAGCGAACGTCCTGGCTGGAGAGTAGGTCCGCCTCACTTTGGCGCGCGGTTCGAGGTTAAGCCGGGACCCCACTTGCAAAGGTGTATATTCCCCCGCACTGACACCAGTGTTGACTTTTTAGAGCGCAGCTCTTAGGGGCGGCCGTTTCCAGCCTGAGCGGCGTCGGCGTAACCGGGGGGGGGGGGGTCACGTGACCCCCCCCCCCCGAGGTCACGGGACCCCCCCTGAGTCACGTGACCCCCCTGAGGTCACGTGACCACACACCCCCGGGGTCACGTGACCCCCCCCCCCCCCCCCGAGGTTCCCCCCCCCCCCCGAGATCACGTGACCCCCCCTATGGGGAAAAGAACCCGACCGAATCGATTGGTGCTCGGGCTCCAACTGCCCGCACGTTTTTAATTTGCGCGTGACCCGCGTCACAGAGCTCGTGACCCGAGCTCCGTGCTGCGGCCATTGTTGCGGGCTCCTACACCCCCAAGGCCACGTGACCCCCTCCCGAGATCACGTGACCCCCCCCCCCCCACCCGAGGTCATGTGACTACCCGCAGGTGACGTGACCCCCCTCACTACCCTTCCCTACTCCTCCTCAAAAGCTGCGCTCCAATTCGGCGTTACAGGGATTTGTAAACGGCTTTCACTTTTTTTTTTTACCTTTTTGAAACTATCAAGAGTGAACATGCATAGCTTTTAGTACTATAAATAAGCTACGCTTTACAGTAACGACACTTGGCCATGTTGTGGCTTAAAGTCATGGTTGGCAGTTATCTGAAGCTTAATCTGAAATGGCAGGAAACTCATTTCCGTCCCCCACAAAAATTTGTAAACAGTTCACAACAAAGCGGAGCAATATTACATGAGCTTCCTAACACCGAATCTAATGCTGAGAAAATGGCACTTTTGAATCATGACGATCGGCAGTTGCGTCTGCTCCGCTGAAGCACCAAAATGGCGGCGCCCACAACAATGTCGGGGAACGGAGTGCCGATACTCTAAGCGCAGCTCATTTAGTGGCTCTAACTTTTATATACTCCGTGAGACTCCTGCCAATGTCACTAGCACGAGAGCTTGAGGTCCCTGTTGTGAAGCGTTCTACCGCAGAACGAGCCATCGCGCTAGGAACAGACGTCTTAAAGTCAGGAGCGCTAACTAGTTCGCGCTTAAAGCTTTGGCTGCAATAGGGAGTTTTCGTAGGCCGCGATGCCCCCTCTGCTAAGCATTCCACAACGAAGAAGTTGCTACTGCGCCTGCGCGCCGATAGCCTTGACTGTGGAGTTCCCGCTATCGTAGCGGGTTGCGGAGGGCCTTGCGGGACGGCGAAAACGATCTACGAAAACTCCCTAATCTCAGCATATTGGTGTATTCACTGGCGGCCATAGCTGTGTGCGCGACCGGTGAGCGCGTGCTGATAGCGAGCTTCCACAGTTCCTTTTGCAACGAGCATTCCACATGATCAAGGTTGCCGGTCTTATCAACCTATAAATGTGAGCTCGTTCTGAGCATGGGGTCTAAACAACATCCGCAAATATGGCGTCCAGTGAATACTCCCTATTGGCCTCAAGACCCACGTTAAAATTAGGGGAAGCGTGATCTCGTTTATCCGTGCTCCTCTACGAGACTCGTGGAGGTTCCATCTGTCCACAATGCGGGTGGAGACAGGGCACCCTAGCGGCGCAGAGCACGGGCAAGGGTATAGAGCACGATCTCTTAGCAGTTGATTCCAGTGTTCGAGCGTTCCATTGACGCCTCCCGTGGTTCCTTCTGCCAGGCCTTGATTTCTGCTTCGTCGTTAGCGTAGTAACCCTCGTTTCCATCTCTGCGGGCCGTGTGTGCGTAGCTGGGACCTCGGTGGTTGTTGCGCCGCAGAGATGGTGAACGGTGACGCGAATTGGTTCCTTCAAGGTTTTGGCGCGACTGGCTTCTAGACTTTTCTTTAGCGGTGCGTGCTCCGTGGTAGGCGTCGTTCTTAGTTCTCTCATTGTTTGAGAGAATGCCTGGTTGTTTCAGTGTCGGGTAGTCTTCGAGCGTTACCCTCGGCGGTTTCTCCGTGTTTGAGGTGCTTCCTCCTTTTCCCTTGCTTCCCCTGGCTCCTGCTTCTTCTGCTCTCACTTGAAGTATCAAATTGACACGCTGGCGTGTGGGGCACTTTGGGTCTGCGGCCAAGCGGGTTGATGCTTTGCAGCTGGTGCAATATTGCCGTTCGCACACGTGTTCTTCTAGGAAGATACAACCGCAATCCCTGCATCGGGGTTTGCGCGTGCATACGTTTTCCTTGTGTCCGAGGCCTTGACACCTCTGGCACATCATGGTTGTTGGTTTGTAGAGTGTGACTCGTATGATGAGGCCATGATACACAAAGCTTCTCGGTGGTCGTTTGCCCACGAACGTGACAAGGGCGAGGCCTCGACCGCCGAGAGGCCTAGCATGTATGATTTCGTGGGATCGGCTTGAAAGAGCTTCTTCTATCTGTTTCGATGTCTCTTGCGGGTCTATTCCGTGTGCTACTTCTCTGCACGCGTCCCTTGGTGGCGTTTCGTGTCCGACGACCTCAACTGCTTTCTCAGGCGCTTTGATCGACGTTACCTTGAGCAGTAGTGCAACGTGTTTTCAGTCTCGTACCGTTACGGTAATTGTGTTGGCTGCCTTGTTCACGCGGAATGTCGGTAGCTGTGTTTTCTGGCATGCGGCCAGGTTTAGGCCTAGTTTCGTTAGAAAGTTTCTTTGTAGAGATGCTGCTGGAATGCTTGCGAGATCGTACGGTTCCTTCGAGTGGAAAACGACATTGAAGCGTTCCTCTAGTTGGTCGCTGTTTGGGTCCATAGCCGCGGCAGTAAGAAAATTGGAAAGATCCTTACTTGCCCTTTGCTTCTTCTTTCCATAATGGACGTCTTGCCACGTCTTCTCACAGTCATCGTTCGTATCTTCGGGCCCATTGCTCGTTTCGTAGGGGTCCATATTGGTTCCAGCTTGGAGCTCCGACAAGTCAGGCAGGTTTGAGCTTGTACTGGTTCCGCTGGGTTTTCTCGATCTCTTGCTAGAGACATTGTCGTCATCTTCATTCAGTGAAGCAACGTCGGTGGCAGCGCGTCGCCGGGTAGGTTTGGCGATAGGGTGTCGTGTAGCAGCCGGATTCATGTACCGGTGCTCAGCGAAAATACTCGCCCCAACGTTAGAATGGGATTCAGAGAGGGTCTGGGTGATCACAGTTCCCTGCTGGGCTACGGAGGTTGCAATAGCGGGCTGGGTTGGTACCAAGGCCGTGGGGCTTGGCGACGCCATGCCACGCTAAGCCCAACGTTGGGCTTACCGTTCGGCTGGCCTGCCGTTCTCAGATTTGAAGGTTTCGAAGAAAATTGGATTTCTTCGCAAGAAAACTCACTTGGCGTGCTCCCGTGATGTTCCGGAAAGTCAAGGAGCCATTTTCACATCACAAATGACTCTCAGAATTGGTGTATTGAAGCTTATTCAGCGGAGCTCGATGCTTGCGAAGGAGAGATTGAATGAAAACACTCGGTTTTGTCCTCGAAATTACACCGCAACAAAGGAGTTTCTTGGCCAGTGGCGTTGCGTGGGAGTATCCTGGAGTCCTACTAATGCCAGTAAGCTCGTGTAAAGTGAAAAACATTCCAATTGAATATCGTTGCACCGTCCCTTTAAAAAGACAGAGTTTCGAAAGGGGGGATCGGTGGCCGCGTGGTCTATACTTCGTTTCAGCTTCGGTCCAGACGCAGCCAAAGCCACAAGCGCGAGCTCCGGGCTTTCAGCATCCCTGCCAAGCACGCGCGCTCGTGCAGTGCAAGCACTGTTCTGGGCCACATGCTCGCGCTTGTAGCATCGGCTGCGTCTGGACCGAAGCTGAAACGAAGTATAGCGCACACCAGCTCGGAGCACGTGGAGCGAAAGCTCGCGCTGCAGAACCCAGGGATCCTGGGTTCGAGCCCCACCCCTGCCCGTTTCGATCTGGATGAGCATCGTACTGGCGTGCGGTCGTGTATCACTACTGCGTGGTGCACGTTAAAGACCCCAGGCTAGCGGTTGTACCGCACTGGCTAAATTTCTCATCTACAGCTGGGAGACTCGTCGCCCGTTGAGGCAGACCAAGTTCTAGGCTGTATAAACACACACACAACCCAATTTGTTTTACAGAGTTTCGAATAGGATGGACACGTTATAACAAAAAAGAAATGCAACGTGCACCACAAACCACGAGGAATGCCGCGAAGACGCATTCTCTGTATAGCGAGTTCATCCGTAAGAACACGAAAAATTGAGCTTTTTTTATTATACAGGGTGCCACTAAAAAAAAACAAATGTGCAGGGTTTTGCTTACCGCAAAAATGAACTAGGCATCGCTGAACGCTCATTTTCCGCCCGAATGTAGCGTTAGAGGTCACAACCAGATGTCAAAGTTTGAGCCCGATGCGATAACTTAATCAAAAGTTATAAGTGATTTTCTGAAAATTTCAATGGGAAAATGGCAGACGACAGAGTTTTTGAATACATGGGGCTCTATGGCACCAGAAACCGAAAACGCGCCAAAATTGTCTCCATTTTCCCATCAAAATTTTCAGAAAATCCCTTATAACTTTTGAATAAGTTATCGGATCGGGCTGAAACGTTGGCGTCTGGTTGTGACCTCTAGCTCTACATTCGGGCGGAAAATGAGCGTTCAGCGGTGCCTAGTTTATTTTTGCGGTAAACAAAGACCTGTCAATTTTGTTTTGTGACACCCTGTATATGTATTCAATTTCTGTTTATACATTTTATTTTATTTTAGTGCAGTGTTCTTAAGGACCACTTTGTGCAATATCTTAACTATTTAAGCATTCAAATTTTGAACATTCACCGCGAGTTCGGACTGACGAATAGCTAGGAATGAGAGCCAGCCAGCGGACGGCTATAACGCACGGCAAGCTCACATCAAGACCGAGATCTTTCGAAAAACAACTCCCCCTCGCCCTAATGACGCTACCTTTCTCACCTCACCCTCTTCTTTTTTTTCTTTATTCATTTCGTTTTTTCAACGAGATCACGACAGCCTCAATTACCTGGCTCGCGCGCATATTCCGTTCCACCCCGACAGTGCGGTGGAAAGCTAGGCGGCTCGCCCGACCAATCAGCCGCCTCCCCCTTCATCACGTGACTCGATCTGTTGGTACTGGTGGGAGCATGATCAGGTGTTGAAAGATAGACCCCTTTACGACGAGCACGTAGCTCCCACAGCGCTGTCACCCTAGCGTTGACCGCGTACCAACGAAGATCCTAGGCGCGTGCGAAGGACTCGGAAAGCTATTAACCTTAGCTTCAGTTCGTTTCAAACCCACGTGAGTTCCATCTCTAGTAAATACTTTTTTAAGCCCTAAAATACTTTTTTTTTATCCTCCTCACTCAGAATTTTGTAACTTATTTATTTTATAAATATTTGGTGGGTGAACACGAGAGTTGTGTCGAACCGTCCTATTCCGTTTCACATAAAAAAAAAAAAAAAAAAGTTGAAAAGACTCTTTAAAAAAAACGAGTTAGAGATGAATTTTAGGATATTTTTATCTCGTGGATCTGAATATCACGTTTGCTTTCCCCGAAGATGTAACTAAACGTGAGAAAACACACACACACACAAAAAAAAACTCCGACCAGTCGTTACGGTATTAAAGTATATTTGGACCGCCAAGCGCGTGTCGCTCGTGTGGGCAGCGCTGTGCATTACCCATCTTTCCAGGTATGCTCCCCCGCACTGACACGAGTCGTTGCGTCTCTTTCTGACTTTTTTTTTTTAATAGCGAGAGAGCGCGTGCATAGTTTTGATAGGCGCTGAAGATGCGCAAAAAAGGAGATTCCGAAAACTGCTGACATGACGTCACGCTGTCAGAAGAAGAAGCTGCGGCGGCATTTGAAGACGGTTTTCTGCAGTCTCCGTGCACCAATTCTAAAACTATTGTCGATATGCGTGATCCTGGAAGCCAAATAAAGACACCCGATTTAAGAGTTTTTCTTCAAATACAGAACCGCTTTAGTTTTTCTTTAAGTCAAACCTCCGCCGACGCTACAATTTAATGGAGTCAATTAAGCAGACAACAAAAATGCATCCTCACGGTGTCGCACTGCGCAAGCCCAGAACTTCCGCATTTCCGCAGTAAGAAGCCCCCAAGTTGTTCGCGGGTCTTCCTATTTTAGAAGCTACCACCGAAGCGCACGGGGAGATAGATGTGCGGGCCTAGAGCCACTAATTAAGCTACGCTTAAAGTATGGGTACTTCATTTCTCGATCCTCTCGAGAGTGCCGCCGACTTGGTGCAAAGAACGAGCGCTATCGACGATTTTTACGATCTTAAAATGCTGCTTCTTCAGCTTTAGATATTGGTGTCTGGGAGCTTGGTGGTATCATTTTACTTCGTCGCGAACTGTTGTAACATTTATGCAGGATAGAAATCAGTTTTCTGCAATTTGAAGTAAAGTTTCAGGTAACTGGCAACAATGATGTTAAGCACCAAGATGGCAGGAGTGTCCTCACCCTGATGCGTTGCTTTTTCAGTGGCTCTATCGGGGTTCATAGATGCATTACATGGGGTATGTGGAAATAATTTCCGTAACTTCCCGACGTTTTAAGGAAGCGCGTACATTCTAAATTATTGCGGGTGCACTATATAAATATATTTTGTGATTTCAAGGATACAGCCGGCATCGGTTGCCAGACTAATTGTATATCTATTAAACGTTTTCGATCACTCACTCGCTCAGTCCGTCTGCGTTCTCCTTCTATTTTTTTATGAGACAAGTAAATGTCTTTGTCACTTGCCGTGGTAGATAAAACATTCCTCCGGAGAAATTACATTATTTAAAACAGCGGTTCGAGTTGATTAAATAATGCCGATGGTGATTTAAAAAAATCGACAATGACAAGCCAAAATAGAAGGGTTGAACAATATTATTTTTGTAGGATGCAGAACGCTCTAGAGTCTGAGAGAGTTTGTATCCTATCTCACGTTTTTGCGAGCATGAAAATGTTTTCAAACTAAAACAGTAAAACAACGCTAAAAGTGAGAAAGCGTTAAAGAGCTTCTTTCGTAGCCCCAAAAATGTCTAACCTGGTGCTCGTACCTGTACACGTACGAAAGGCACGCCGTTCCCCGCAGACAAAATGTGCGAAGTGTCTGCGAACTAGCATAGAGCATGCTCGAACTTCGAAGCAATGTCGTATGCATGCTCCGAACATGCCTGCGGGCAATTTTTTCTGTGCTCGTCACACAAGCAAGAAACACGCTTCTGACTGTCTTCTGTGTGATGTATTTCGTAGTGGGACCGCTGGTTTAAGCAGTCACGCGAACATTGTGACACTCAAGTTTCCGGGACAGGGAGATGGTTCGCCTAGAGCCACTAAATCAGCTGCGCTTAGAGTATCGCCACTCCGTTCCCCGACATTGTTGTGGGCGCCGCCATTTTGGTCCTTGTGCAGAGCAGACGCAACTGCCGATCGTCATGATTCAAAAGTGCGACTTCCTCAGCGTTAGATTCGGTGTTACACTCTAAAAAAAGCCCGTGCACCTACTTTCCCGCAGAACACTCGGAGAGCCAATCAGTGCAACCTACGGAGGCAGCTCAGCGAATGATGAGGCCGAAACATATGTTTAGACCAAAAAACGCAGTCTGAGTTGTGACATTAAGCAATGCGAGCGTGACGTTTTGCATTGCTTAATGTCACAACTCAGTCTGCGTTTTTTGGTCTAAACAGATGTTTCGGCATCGTCATTCGCTGAGCTGCATTCGTAAGTTGCGGTGATTGGCTCTCCGAGTGTTGTGCGGGAAAGTAAGCGCACAGGCTTTTTTTAGAGTGTAGGAAGCTCATGTAATATTGCTTTGCTCTGTCGCGAACTGTTTAAACATTCGTGGAGGACGGAAAAACGTTTCATTTGATTTCAGATAAAGCTGCAGATAACTGAAAACCATGATTTTAAGCCACATTATGGCGAAGTATCGTTACTCTAAAGCGTAGCTTATTTAGTGGCACTATGGGTTCGCCCACTGGGGCTGACTAACCTCCGGCCGTTTAAACGAGCAGACAACGCAGATGCCAAGGACGCTACGCAGGTACCAGAAGCGTCGTGAAATCAACTTGTTTCCGTGCTCACAAGCACTTATGCAAGTACTAGGGAAGCGAAGAAAACCAATCTGATTCGGAAAGACTACGCTCCCTCCCTCCCTCCCTGTCCTGGCCATATTGCCAAACAAGCCAAGATGACACAAGAAG